TTAATTACTTTTGAAAATAAGTAATCAGTAAAGTTACGGGATTACTTTTAATCAGTTACAGTTACTGATTACTTTTTTCAAGTAACTTGACCAACACTGCTAAGGACCCCAAAGCACTTTACACTACATCCACCCATTCACACACACATTCACACACTGGTGATGGCAGCTACATTGTAGCCACAGCTGAGGCGAGGCTGCCGGACACTGGGGTGAAGTGAAGCCCAAGGACACAACGACCGAGACTGTCGGAGTCGGGGCTCGAACCGGCAACCTTCCGATTACAAGACGAACTGCCAACTCTTGAGCCATGATCGATAAGTGGTTATCTGTGTTCCTGTTGCCTTCCTATCAGTCACGCCATTCTCCTCTGACGCCTGGCACCAACACAGCATTGTACCCATGAAACTGCCACTCACTGGGTATTTTCTGTTTTTTTCAGGTCATCCTTTATAAACCCCTGAGATGGTTGTGTGAGAAAATCCCAGTAAATTGGCAGCTTTCTGGCACCAACAAACCATGCCACATTCAAAATCACTCCAGTCACATTTCTCCATCCTTCTAGTGGTCGGTTTGAATTTTAGCAGGTCCGCTTTAAAATGCCTAAATCGATTTGCTTGGTTGATTAGAGGTTTGCATGGCATCAGCAGGTGTACCTAATGCAGTGGCCAGTGACTGTATACCAAACCAGCCGCTTTAAAAACAGGTTAAAAATTGGGCCACATTCAAGTTCAGAATGATGACAAGCACTAACACAAAAGTTTTGAAATGCAAGAGATCTACTTAAAAAGTAATTTGTGTAATCATACAGTGTTACTGACTCTGTGTTAAGCACACAAACCATTTCGATCGATGGGAGAGAACTGCATGCTCCTTCTGAGTTCCTCCAGTGAAAGCCCTCCAGATGCTCTGCGCCGCTCACTGAAATTAAAAAGAACATCCTCAGCATTTGTTCGTTAATCTACTGGAAAACAATACTTTGGAATATATACTGCTGCCTTTACAGGGAGAAAGACAGATGAGACGAAGGCAGCTCCAAGCAAAGAAACTCAATATGTAATGTCAGACTCAACAGCTACTTTCGCTTTCTCTGCAGGTGTGCTGCATACAAAATTCATGACAGGTATAAATGTGCAACCCCAGATCATAATAAGGAGACATAATAATAGGAAAAGGTTATTCAGGTTAGGGAATTTGACTTCATTGCTCCGATTTCAGTTTTTTACAATTTATTTACGATCTGTGAAACATGAAACTAAATGTGGCTGAAAGTTGCAGAGGAGTTTTCTTTGTAGGACAATATTTACAAAGTGTCTAATTTCAGTACTCCATATTGACTGTTACCAGGCTCTCACTCTACTCATGCACACACACAAACAAGCTCAAAGACAAGTGTCTAACTTCCTTCACAGCCAGTGACAGGACTGTTTTATTACATTTGCTTTCCTTTGTTTCCTGGTTGGTATCCGAGCAACTCAACTCCCCACTGAATGGAGTTGCTCAACTTGCCTGCTTGTTATCAGCATGACAGTTGTTGAAAGTGTTTACAGGATTTGCTTTTACATCACGTTCTTGTCGAATAAGCCCAGACATGTTTGAGACTTGAAGCCACGTTTTTATTGTATATGTATATACTCACATATACATTGTTGTATATTTTCATCTCAAAACTGGCCTTTTCTAAGTATCGGTTTGGCTCGAGATCCACTTTCTTTATGGCCTTGGCAGGGATGTGCTCTCAAAGGAGCAATCAGAGGGCCAGCAAACTAAAGAAAACCCGTCCATCTTAGCCAGAAAGAAATGTTAGAGAATTAAGATATTAACCACAGTGGGCTTTGGCCAGAAGTAGAGGACCAAACGAGTGCGAGTGTGCAGTAAATTATTCCCTCCTGTTTAAGGAGACACTCGAGTTGTCTTACCTCTGGGTCCAGAAAGCATAGGCGCGAGTGTTGAGAGCATACTCGAGTTCAAAACGAGAGCGCAGGGCGGCCACGTGGCTCCGGCCGGGTCCTCCTCGCCCGAGCAGACAGTCAGACGAGGAGGAGGGAGAGAGGGAGCCGCTACTGTTACTGGAAGCTGGAGACATCAGCTGTGATACATAATAGAGAAAATGCAACTATTACAACATCCATGTAGGCATTTAATTATACGTGGCAGATTATGTACCTCAACATTGCACAGGCATTCCTCCAGGCTGGAAACCACTTCAGAGAATTCAGGCCTGTCCTAAAAAAAAGCAAAAAGAAAGGAAACTAAATTTATTTTAGCGTTTTTATAAACACTCAGAAATGCATCAGGCACATCCCCAAAAAGATGCACAGGTGTATTCTCTCCAAAACTGGCGTGTATATTCTGCTTATTTTAGTCCACCCACACACTAAGCAAAGGTGACCTGTGCTTTTAAAAGCAGCCCTCAGATCTCTCGCCTCGCTGTAAAAGAACAAACACTGCCACCCTGCAAAGCTGTTCAATTATACATCACATCCAGAGAGAGCGTCTGTCTGCATGTCAATGACTGAAGCCAAGACTAAAACAAATGTAGGATAACATTTAGGAAACACTTAAAGATGTATAAAAATGCAATACGCGTTTTTAAAAACCTTTTCCCAGCATTATGTTTTCAAAAGGTTTTACAGCAATTTATTATTAACTTTAGGAAATTAAAAAAAAATGTACATATGTATGTTTCAAAAGCAACAGTTTGCACTTTCAACAAGTTTAAATTACGCACATGTCACAGCCATTCATCTGGAAATCTACAGTACAGCATGTCCCAGTTTGAAAGCCACGTGAGAACCAGTTTACTGCACAGGTGAGGCACCAGGAGAGAAGCCTGCATGTAAGATCCTGTGGCAGCCTGCTCTCGTTAAATAAATGCTTTTATGACGTTGAAGTGGGACAAGCGGATCACAAAAGTAAACAGGAAGTCGACGTACCACTGGGAGGAAAATGTACATGCATGATCAGCCGTGTGACAACATTAAGGGGAAGAAAAGAAGAGGAATCCCAGCTAGTTATAAACAGCACAGAGGGAGGATCGTCAGGGTCCTGAGTACTCCTAAATGTGAACAGCGATGCAATAATCTGTCATCTGGGGATCAGCTTCTCTCGTTCATTACTGCTGCTTGTGCACTGAAGGAGCAGCTGACTCAGCATCCTGTGACTCTCAGAGCCTTATTATGTTTATATAGTAATGGCTGATATAATATGGATGACATCATAGTATTTTATATTTTAATACAATAAAGCTTTTAATAGTTGAGTATATCCTGACGAGCTGTAATTTAAGAACAAGTTGCTATCCGAGTAATTACTTCTCAGCACCATCAGGCCGTTTACCTCTGGGCAGGAGTTCCAGCCCCTCATCAGAAGTGCAGAGATGGGTTTGGGAATGGAGTAACCAATAGGAGGCCGGATGTGATGATAGGCCATGTCTGCTGCTGCAGCAGCTAAGGACAAAACAAATATTTTAAATTCAGCTGTAAAAAGTGTTATCTGAACTGCTTTTGTGATCTATTTGTGTGTTTAGTATTTGTTTGTAGTGCAAGTAGAATGTATGCATGCTTTGTTTACTGCTAATTGTCAGACATTTCTGCACTGAGGTGATGAGCTAGCTCATGTCTTTGCATTCACTGAATTTTTTCTTCAAAAGTCTGAAACTCTAAAATACCACGTGGACAGTCTTTTGTACGGAGCCCCGCAGGGGACATGGGAGAAAAAAAACATTAAGACGGACTTTTGCGAGATCTCGCAAAACAAACTCGGGATCTCGCAAAGATCCCGAGTTTAGCCGCATTCTTCCCATTAGCTCGAAGCTAACGGGAGCTAATGGGAGGTCGAGACCTACTACAGCCGGGAGGAACACCGCTTTCCCGGCACATCGTGCCTCGACCGCCCGGTCGGCTTCGAGCCAGCGTCCGAAGAATGCGGCTAAAACGTTTGCGAGATCTCGCAAAAGTTTTGCGAGATCCCGAGTTTGTTTTGCGAGATCCCGAGTTAGTTTTGCGAGATCTCGCAAAAGTCCGTCTTAATTTTTTTTTCTCCCATGTCCCCTGCGGGGCTCCGTACTTTTGGCTAATGTATGGATCGGGCACTGATTTTGCAATACAAGATGTCACTGATTTAACTTCTGTTTGAACTCATTTGATGAAAAATGACCAGGCTTCAGGTGAGCAAAGGGAATTTCTCCCGTCAGCAGCTCCCACAGACAGAGGGCGTAGCTGAACATGTCCGCCTTCACTGAGTAGCGAGTGCACTGGGTGAACACCTCAGGAGCCATCCAGCGCAGGTTCTGCCAAAACACACGTGGAGATAAAGGTTGTTGAAAGCTCAAGAGGTGAGGACGGACGTGTATTTTTTAAAATTTGGTCTACTTTAATGGCAGCACACACGTATGCAAACAAAATGAAGCCCAATTAAAACCATAAACGCTGTGTCCCAGCAAGGGCAAGTAGATCATCATAACAGGCAGCTCCCTGGAGATGAAACACACTTAACACCAAACTGCAGGCCAAGCACTGTGCAGCATTGAGTCAGCACATTCATACAAATTCTGCATGAAGGCACTTTTCTTTTTTAGCTGGCAGATAATTGATGGCAGTTGCCAGAGAAAGCACTCGCTTGAAGTCCAACAAAACAACAGCTTAGACTTTTTATCTTTAAATTTTGAAAGTCACTCAGTCTTTCATGGATGCTGCAGATGGTGTCAGAGTTATTTGGCTAAAGAGGGGAGAAAACTCATTCAAGTAAATGTGAAAGAGCAAGCAGCACTGACCCCTGGCTGCTTGGTCATGTTGTCCTCTTCAACAGACTGTAGAAATCTGGATTCTGCAGAGAGGCAACGACATTTATAACATCACGTAATTTACAGGCTGAAAAATGAAAAGTAACAGCAGCACAAGTGTTCCTGAATTAGATAAGGATTGAGCTACTCGTCATGACAGACCGAGTCAGGCTAAGTGTGCTGAACAGATCAAGAGCAGATTTTATTGTTAATAAACTTTAAAGCATATTTGCACTGAACAAGACACTTACAAATGTGGATTGCACAACACTGGACACTATATTCTTCATTTCCAGTTAAATCCTTCTGACATTGGTGACATCACAAGAGCACAATTACTTCATGTAAGTAAAGTAGACTATGGCACACTGACCTTATTCATATATAGCTGGGCTCCTTGCTTATAAATGTGGGCCAATATTGTAAAAACCTCAGCATAAATAAGCATCACTGTCAATTTAGTCCAATCTTGCTCTATCTGGCTTAGGCGACTTATTAATACTTGTACAGCTGCTGTTATTGTGTATATATATATTTATATTTCTTCATACATTTTTATATATTTCTATACTGTGTATTGTGTATTTTGTTGTACAGTTATTTTATTTTCAACTTTAATTTATATATTTTATTTTATTCTTTCCCAGTTAAATTTACCCTTTTTAATTTTCATATTTATTTCCTATCTTATTCATAGCCTTTTCTTTAGGTCACGAGCAGTTGTCTAAGCATTTCACTGCATATCGTACTGTGTATGACTGTGTATGTGACAAATAAAATTTGAATTTGAATTTTCTGATGAACTGGTTAAAAATGTCTATGCTCGACTGGAGCTCTGGGCCATCAAACCTCGGTTCAGTGGATGATCTGATCTGTTTGTAGGAACAGCAGAAAGTGTCAGCATCGACCAGCCTGGAACCAAATCTTTCATTGTTTGTAGGCTAGTGCTAGCCCTTCATTTTTTTTTCAAAGCTAAACTTACTAATTTTAACCACTGCTGCAAAATTAAAGCGAGAAATTAGCCATCAAGCGTCTGCTAGCTTCTTAGATGAGTTTTTTAAAAATCCCTAATGCAGTCTTGCAAGACAACTTTTATCTAATACATTTTTTTAAGAAGGTTTGCTGAGTCTTCCAACACGGTTTCAAGAGTATGGAAGCAACACTGGGAGCCCATTAACCCAGCAGGAGGACCAGTATCTGCTTTGTGAAAAGATAAACAGGAGGAGCACTCCCAGAGCCCCACAAAGCAGCCTCAACCAGGTTCCTCGTACGCATGTTTCTAATCAAACTGTTGGACATCGACTCCATTAGCATGAAACAACTTCCTTTAGTGGGATCTGTGCTGAACCCCATCACCGTGTAGCTCCACTGGTATTTTCCAGAAAATAACCCAACTGGCAGGTCCACCAATGGCGCCTATTCGCTTCAGAAATATGCAAGAGCCAGCGGTCC